ATCTCACAAATATCTACAGTATGTAGAAAACATAAAGTTCACTTTTTCTCACATCCCACAGCAAGGTCATTTTGGAGATTGGTGTTCTTTAATTTCAGCAACATACTTTGGTTTTTGGATTAGCAATTAGCTCACCAATTGGTAAGAGTTAAACTTTTTGTCCATGTCATATGGCTTGTGTTTTCAGAAGGAAGCTGACTCACTTCAATGTAATGAAATCTACCTGMAGGTATATGTAAAGCTGATTTAATGATTGCTTTTTCAAGCTAAGGTGGTTCAACAGACTATCTTTTTTATTAATATTTATTCATTTTTATTTGTAACAATACACAACAAAATAAAACATGCAACCAAAATAAAATAAAAATGAAATGAAAGGCAGCAGAAGACTATTTACAACATGCTAGAGACTTTTTGTTAATATCTTTCTGAAGAACCCCATTTCAAAAAATGTGAAATTAGGGACAATATGTCAATAATTGTTGATGGTGTAATGGAAATAATTACCATTGAAGTATTGAATGAGAACTCTAAAAATATAGTGGTGAGCTGTGTGTATCGTTCACCAGGTTCAAATATAGAATTATTTTCCGATAAAATCACGGAGCTCTTTGAAAGGAGTTATAATAAAACTTTTTTTGTCAATTTAYTCACTAATGTAAGAGATGGAGAGGTGTTGAGTGGACTTTTTACAACTGATATAAGTGATCATTTACCAGTTTTTACAGTTTATAAAAACTACCAATGTAGTAGGACTGTTGTTGCAACAAAAAAGAAAGTGTTAAACACATAAAAAAAGCTTTGGACAAATTGAAAGATTACTTTAAAAAACTAAATTGAAGGATGTATATGTTAATGATGTCAATAGAGCATATGATGTGTTTATGAGAACTTTGGGAAGTTTGTATAAAAAACATTGTATGAAGAATAATTTTGCAAAGAAAGATGTTTTTAAAAGATAATAAGGAACTTTATGATCAGTTTTTTTCTTCCAAACTTTATTCATTTCAT